GAGAAAAGTAGCTTTAAAGTATTATATCCAAATTTTCTAGCTTAAGAACTCTAAGGACTAGAGTAGTTTTTAAATAATGTACGTGAGTCACTCAGCAGAGCAATTGGCTATGGTAAAGAAACACTAAATGATGCTGCAGTTTATTTATTGTCAATATTAGGATTATCATTAGCATCTTTAACCTAAAGGATGTCTCTGCTATTCAAGAAATTCAACCAACAAAGTTATTTTTTTGCCTCTCCTAATGAAAATATTCTATCAATTTGTACTGCTTTATCTTACTTTGTATTAAAATATCTTAAAATTCCTTAAATGTCATTTTCAATATGACTACTCTTTTATAAGGACCTAAAATATTTTCAACTGTTCAATATCAATTCAATTATAAATATTTTTCTTTTAAATTTCCAGATCATTAAAACACAAATTCAAAAATTAGAGGATAACTCATAAATGAGAAAGTTTTTCTGAAGAGATATTTGATCACAATAGAAAAAATTAATATTTAGGATACTGTAAAAACAATAGCAGAAATATCAATTAATTTCTAAGAATTTTAATTCATTTGCTACTGAGAATGAACCTTAAGTCAAACCAGTATTATCTCACAACAGAATACCAACAAATCAAGTATGATTCAAATAAATGCACTAATTTTTCACAAAAGATAGCTTCAAAGAGAAGGTATTACATTTTTTAATAGTTAAAAGTCATATTTCAAGTGAAGATGTAAGTAACTGATTTAAAATAACCTATAATCAGAAGGAAAATACTTAGTGCAAAATCTCAACTTATTAAGGAAAGAAAAAAAGACAAATGAACAATTGTCACATTAAGCATGTGCGAAAATTGGGCACTTATGAAGGATAATATGAAAACCACTACAGACTTCTCAATTTTAAATTGCTTTAAATGCATTTATTCATTTTATAAACTGAGAATAAAGACTATAGTTAATCATACAGTCAGATGTCATATAGAAAAATTTATAACTGTACCTTAGTAAATCTTATAGAACGAGAACTGAATACCAAAACGTAAGCATCATGTGTCATAAGCGTTTGTTTTCTTTTTTAAATTTCTCTGATCTTCCAAATTTTATAGCAGAATATATTACTTTTTTAATCAGAAAACATGGTTAAAGCATTTTGTAATATTTCTCAATGAATTTTAGTCCTATTAAGAACATGAATTCTAAGACTAGGACATTCCTACAAAACTGAATGTAAACCTTACTCTAAGGCTTTGGCCAGTCAATACTCAGAAAACCAGCACTGTTGAGCTCCTCTCCTATACCCATGGGAGCAGCACAGTCTGTTATAAACAAAATGGGCCTATAAATTAAGAGACCGGATTACCCCAAACAATTGTACGAACAGCTCATTAGACAATCCTACCTTCCCTTTCCACACTACCCCCTGCAAAAAATCACTAGTTATTCTAAGTTTTGGTTTTATAGTGAAATAAAATAAACTTTTTTTCTACTGTATCTTAAGGGTACAGTGAAATTAAATGAGTGATATTAGAAGGGGGAAAAAAGATAGGAAATAAATTCTAGTTGTATTAGCACTTCTCCAACCATCTCACACAGCATTTCCATAATATTGAACATTGTGTACTGAAATTACAGAAAAATGCCAATATCTGGCTCTGATTGTGAATTCACCCCACCCATGATATTTTTTTCCTCTTCCAAAAGTCATTCTTCCACACTGTGATCCCAAATTTCAAGGGCACAGAATGAAACTGTTCCGTTTCCATTCTTAAATCTGCGATACCACACACCAAGATCAACTGACTGCCTACAGAGTGCATCTACTAAAACACACTAGAGAAATAATTTCCCATCACCCTGCAAACACTCTACATATTCCACCTGACAAATGTGATCTGGCTTAACTCCCACCAATTTTTAATGTCATAAAGTTCCACATTTATAGTTTATTATTATTACCTATATAATGATAACATCTCAGAATCTTATAGCAGGGAAAAATTGATTGCAATAATTTTTGCTCATTGCAAAAAGTAGATAAATGCTGAAGTGAATAAAGTTAAAGAAAATTGATGGTATATATCTAGACTTTTTATAAGTACATATAATCATACTATATATATTAATATATATGCATATTCATTATATATTAGCTATTTCTTAAAATATATACATATTTTTATATAACTTGTTCTTTACAAACATACTATAAATATTACTTTGAAATTTTTCATCATTTCACAAAAGATCATAAATATTTCTCCAAGTTGTATATGTATATATTTTTCCTAATAGCTAAATAGCATTCCATTGTATGATTAATTTATTTATTCAAACATTATCTATTAATTCTACTGGGAGTCGTTATGTGCCAGGCACCGCTGTAGATAATGGGAACATATCAGTAAACAGACAAAAATCCCTGCCCTTGTGAAGGTCACATTCTGTTGGGGAGTGAAGAGATTATGGCACAGAACAGAGAGTGAGGAATGTACCACAATATACTAACTAACCAATGCCCACTGAGGGAAATCCATGCTGTCACCAATTCTTTTTAGTTTATTTTTGTTATTTTTTTACACTGACAGTTAAAACTGTACGTTTTTATTGTGCACAACACATGGCATTTAATACATTGACCCTAGGAAAAAAAACTATTTTCCTTGGGGCCACAGTGTTTTATTACGAAAATAAAACAAAAACATTGAAAACAAAATGGTCCCTTCTAATTTAATGAAAAATTTGTTATTTTTTATTGTTTTCTGTGTGTGAGTTATATACAAGTTATATACAAGTTATTTCAAGTTATATACAACTTGAAAAATAGTTCACATGGTTCCCAAGGTAAAGATACATGTGAGTTACATGTGCTTCACAAGGCCCCAGGCTTAAAACTAGCATGAATTAAATACAACTCACATGACAGTTAATGTGTTAAGTATTGATATACATATTGTAAAATGACTAAATCTAGCTCATTAACATTTTTTGCTACTATAAATTTGGTAATAAATAACTTTGTTATTTTGTTTTCTACACATTCTTGGGAATAATCTTGGGCTTTAAATCTTTAGAACTTAAAGATTCAATCAAGACTAGCCTGGGCAACATAGTGAAACCATGTCTCTATCAAAAAAAAAAAAAAAAAAATTAGCCAGGTGTGGTGGTATGCACCTGTAGTCTCAGCTACTTGGGAGGCTGAGGGAGGAGGATCACTTGAGCCCACAAGTTCGAGGCTGCACTGAGCTATGACTGGACTACTGCACTCCAGCCTGGGTTACAGAACAAAACTCTGTCTTAAAGAATAAGAGTATGAGATTTCAAAAATCTGGTAAATATTATTAAATTTCCCTTCAAAGAGTTATGTCATTTTATAGTTCTACAAATAGCACATGAAGTATGTTTCCCCTCACACTTACTAAAAAAGTATTTTCAATTCTGCCAATCTTAATGTGCTTGTTTCTTTTATCTTCAGTTAGCTGAACATCATTCACAGATGTATATGGTGTTTACATTTCTTCGGTAAGTTATTAGATGCTTTACTGATTTTCTACCAGGTTTTCTTATTAATTTACAGGTGCTTATTAGATATTGTGGCTATTAACCATCTTTAGTGGTTATAAATTTATTTCTACTTGTTCATTATTTGTATTTTACATTTCTTTGTCATCAAACAAATGTTTTCATTATTATGTGCTTAAATACACCAATCTTTTCGGTATTCCATATTAGGTATATAAAGGCTCTCACCATGATGGTTTTTCTTTTAGTACATTTAGAGATTTAGCCTTCCTTTCAAACAAGTATAAAGTTAAATCTAAAATAGAGAAGGACCACCAAATCAGGTGGACAAATCAAGACTAAAAACTCCATTATTCCTCTCACTAGAGCACTTACAGAGATTTTTCAGAATTATCTTCCAACAGATACAATTATAGCTTACAAATAGATATTTGCCTATCCATAGCAACTTTCTGAAAAAGATGCTGAATTTCATTATTTTGAATTCTTTGTTCATTATTAAAACTAGTTAGTTATATGGTTGACTAGCTAATCTCTAATTTAGCTGTTCTCAAAGAACACCTTACTATATTGTCTTTCAGTACAAACATTGAGCATTTCTATAGAATCTAGCTTGCCCAATATTCACATTCTAATCTTATTCCCACGGACTATATCTGGATTTCTGATTCACCAGGACACCTTACAGGGACCCTAATCTTTAGAATTCTTCCTCCGCAACAGCCAGCAGCTCAGACCCCAGGTCCACAGGCAGGAGACACACTCTCAACCACCTACTGACCCAGGGCAGATGACGCAGGCAGGTGACGCAGGACAGGTAGGACCTGTGGGAACCAGCTAGCTCAGGACACAACTAAACACCTGCCATTTAGTCCCACCTTACTGTTGCCAAGGGGGAATGCACGGTCAGAGTTAGATACCCCCATTTCTCAAAAGGAATTACAAATATGAATTTATACAAAGCTTCCTAAAATGTATAAGGCTAACAGCATCTAAGATATTCAGGACACTCAGTAGCCAAACAAGAGCCTCCCACACTTCTGCCCAGCATCGCCCGCTTACATGGTTGCCTTAGAGCAGCAACTCACTTTCAAAAATCCAGATTTTGGTTTAGTGACAGAAAAGGGCTCACATTAATTTAACTGCTTTTTTGCATCCCATTTAATATGCCAAACTCATATGTTATTTGAACCCATATCTTCATACTTAATTTTCAAAACTAAATCCACAGAAACTAATCTTTAAAAGAGGCAATTCTTTCAAGAAAAATTCCACCATTTTACTAATAAATCTTTAAACCTGATTCTGTATACAGAAAGTAAGGAAAATTATTTTTCAACTTACTTTGATTTAGAGAATACAAGTCAAAAAAAAACAAATTATAGGAGTATAGGGTTTTTTTAATCCCAAGCATAATGAAATACAAATGAAAGACACAGTGAATCTATTTAGCATCTCATTTTTTTTTACTACAAATACTCACCTAAGGATGCATAAACAAATTTTGCCTCCTGATGTGAGTCTGCAGAATCCAAATCTCTGTTTACTTTCAATGTCTGTCAGTACAAAGGTAAAGTGCTGTCCAACTTGGTTTTGAGACACCCTAAAATTCAGAAACAGTATGAAACATTAAGCCTTATGTGATAATTTTCTTGAAGAAAAACAAAAGCAATAATATATTTATATGCAGCATTAGTTTCATCTTTCCAATCAGTTGGTTCTTAAAGCCAGAACTACGTTCTAAAACTAAAATGAGTATGTAACATATAAACTAAATCATGAGTCAAAAACTGAAATAAGTTGTGATACCTTACAGATGGAGCAATTCAGCATATGCTAATCCCTTACTAGAAAATCAAAAGTAGTTTACCATAAGCTTTCATAAGAATAAAAGTACTTATAAAATATTCCATAAATTATCAAATTTCCCCAATCATTCTCAAATTACCTACAAAACAAATCATGATGCTTTAGAATTTAACAGTAGCCACCACCAACTCTCTTTAAAGAATAAGAGTATGAGATTTCAAAAATCTGGTTGACAGTGTTCAAAAATCTGTTGACACTCTCACCCAATAAAGCACCATACAAAATACTCCTCGTGTTTTTTCTTAGCATTCTCTTTTAAAGCTATCAATATATTGAGGAATATATTTCCAAGTACAAAATAAAAAATATAATTTCTACAAAAAAAACCTGACTGGCTAAGCTGTAAAGAACTGTAGTTGGGGGAAGGGAGAAAAAAAAAAGAACTGTAGTTAATTTTGGACTAAGTATCACGCTAATATAATATGTGCTGTAGTGTAGTATAAGGGGCAATAAAAAACATTAGACTGAATATTTATTTCTATGTAAAATATATGAATATATTTCCTGGTCCTGCTATGATTTTGCCATTAGATAACCATAAGTGAACTTTTGCTTCCTTGCCTCAAAACAAAATATCCATGACACCCAAACTTTGTTTTTGAAATAACCATAGGAATTGTGAAAAAGGAAATAAATTACTACCAGTGTCAATAACACAAACTGTTTTGTTAGGAAATACTGAATTTCAAATGCTGAACATTTAACAAACACGCTTTTAAGTGAATGGTTTTTCTTCTTAACTTTTATAAACTTCAAAAAAAAAAAAAAACCTCTCCAGTATCTAATAGACCCTCTAGTGCCCAAAGTTCATCATATTACTTTGTATCTTTTCTTCCTTTACTTTATCCTTACAATTAATTTGAAAATTACAACTTTCCTTTTGGGTGGCAGTGGGCAAATGACTCCTTAGAAATGAAGTAAAACAAGGAGCACCATTCATCACAAATACCTGTTAGTATCAATTAGCCCATCATTCAAAAGGCTTTACCTTTAACATAGTAAAATTTTGTAGTCTCACTAATCTTTACAAAATACGTTCCTAAAATGAATCTTCTTCCAAAAATCCTTCATATCACACTCTTAAGAAAACTGATAATAGGGTGTGAAAATCACATGAAAAACAATAAGTGATCTGTTATTATGCTCAAAGGGCTATATATTACATGAAATTCCAATTGCATGCAAGTATTTCATTATTTGTTCAGTAAAATATAAACCTCATGACATTTTCAAAACCTCTTGGAGCGTTTCCCTGCAGCCTTCCATGATGCTGCACCATTTCTATAAAGCTATACTTGGAGACAACCAGCCATGAGTTTCACAACATCACACAGATGGTCTTTTTAATTAGGATGAAGTGAGATAGAAATCAAGATATATACATCCAATTTGAAAAAACAATTCTAAGACTCTGATCAAGAACATATTAATATCTTTTTTCTGCTAGTGCTCATAATTTGTAACTGAAGAATAAAGGGGAAAAAACAGAACCTATTGGCAACACTGTTTTAAGACTTCTAACCAGCCACAGCAAAGATATGATGATTTAAAAGGCTCCTTCATTCCAAACATTAATTTTGAATACCTAGCCTTTGTTGTTAGAAGCAGTGAAGAAAAGGTACATTTCATTTTATAAGAAAGCACATGTAATCATTTTAAAGTGTGCACTAAGATAAGCTAAAATTATTTTAAATGATGATTATACTGTACCTTTTAACGTCAAAAGGGAAACAGAACTTTGGCACGCTCTGTAGTACTTCCTACAAATGCAAATTAAAAAAAAAAGAAGCTTTAGAATATTGTTTTTAAAATGCAGCTAAAACTTTTTTGAGACATTTTTCAGAAAAAAAAGTTTTCTTTTTGTTTTTTTTTTTTCTCAAGAAAAATGGCACAGGTTCCTAGACTAAAATAATTGATTATTAAAAGGGAATTAAGTTTGTGCTTTGGCAGATTGCACTGACAATGCCTCAGGAGCCCCAGGAGGGAAAGGCCTGGCCTGAAGGGTATTAACACCCTTCACATCCCCGCTGGGAGTCCCTTCAACAAGGCCATATGGATTTTACAAGAAGCACCGCACCATATGGGTAAGCCACGTCTGCTACCACTTGTACCGCAGACTAGCCACAGGGACTTCTGACAGATCCTGGCTCAAAAATATAAATGTTGTTTCAATTAAAATGCAGGCAGAGAAAAGGGAATGAAGTTGGCAGCAGAATAAATTACTGAGAGGTATAACAACTCTACACGTCCCATAGTCAGACAGTTAAAAAAAAAAAAAAAAAACCCACAAAGAGGCTATACCTAAAAAAACATATTTACGTTTTTCAACTCTTGGTACTATGTTTTACCCTACGTAACACTCAAAGAAATGTGTACCTAAAAGCAAGCATTTAAATTAAAACACAGCTTATATTCTCTGCACTTTCATTTAAGATTGCCTACTATGAAAATCAATGTTTTAATTAAACAAAGAAAATAATCTGATTTTGAAACCTTCAATAATTTTACAGCCATTATAAAATAATTTTTAAATCTTTTGGAAATCATATGCATTAACAATTATAACAAAGTGCAAATAACTGTCAGCTACTTGGCAAAAAAAAATAGCAAAAATCCATTTTGTTATATTTGAAAAACAACTTAAAATGAACTCTGATTCAAAAGTTTAAACTTCAAACTTGAAGACAACATCATACAAGGTCAAAGTCAGGTGATTTTACAAGACAAAGCAGAGATTCATGAGGATGCTTCCTATCAAAAAGAAAAAAGAGCAAATATCTTAGTGCAGTAGTTATTCCTCCTCCAAAAAGAAATACCTTACCTACCACCTCTTTGCCACTAAAATTCAGATCCAGAGAAATTATGCTTCAAGAGTCCTAACTCACATAAGCAAAAAGAAAAGCATCACATGAAGAACACAATCTGCTCTCAGGGCAGAGCACTCTGATTTGCTTTTGGATGCACACACACCTTTGAGAGTATGGGCACAGGCTCCACAGTTAGAGAAAGCTAACTGTCTCACTAATGGCAGTATTTTGTTTGTGGAAATTAAAAGTCACTAGACTGGAAATAAGCTAAATCACTTAAACTGAACAACAGTTCATCACAAATGTGGACAGTTCATTCTGACATGACCATTGCTTAATCCCCATCTCGTACTGCATGAGGCCATTTGCCATCTTTACTGTGTACAGGAAAACTATTCAGGTACCCTCCTGCAGAACTGTCCACAGATTAATAAAAAATATGTATTCAAAATTCTACGTCTGCCTCTGAATATGCCCGAATTACACCTTTCACATGAGTTTTCAGACTCAAATCAAGAAGGACGCGCCCCGTGTGTGGCTCCGTCTTGTGCACACCTCCCTCCTTCCACGACACACACGCACATACTTGTGCACGGCAGCCCAGCTCGCTTCCCAACTGGCAGACACATCCCTCGGGGGACAGGTCTTTAAACCTCCACACTCTTTAAGATTCAGCCAGCCAGCAGGTCTATAGACTGGTGTATAAACAGTACGGACAAAACCCTTTCTCGGCTTATGCCGGTGACAAAGCAGCTCGGCAGTTGACTGTTCCTCCCCTGACGGCATCAGCTGGGCTGACACAGATCAATAGCCGGGAGTCCCACCCAGCTCCCCGGCTGGTTTTCCTCCTTAATTACAGGTGCTATTCAAACTGGAGTTTACAAAGAAAAAAGAGAGAGAGAGAGAGAGAGAGAGTCTGTTGAAGGGAGGAATAAAATGCATGCCAATAGCTTTCTAGATCCTTATAGTAAAAGGTATTAATTGAAAATTACACTCCTTCATTTATTGACAAAGTGTTCATAAAGGCTGGTATTTCCACTACCCGGTGTTTTTGACATGACACACACATAAGCACACATACAAAATTCTAGGTTAGGAACCACAGATTATGTGAAAGGTATAAGATAACACTCTCCAGAAGTTGCCCATTTCCCCTTTTTCCACAGGCTTTGGCTTTTAAAGAAATTTACTTAGCCAAAAAAAAAACTATTCCGGTTTCAGAATCCTCCCAACTCTCTAAAATATTTTATTTTTATACACAAAGAACACACTGGCTAACACATGTTAAATGATACAAATAGGAATAACAAAAAGAATGCAATAGAATACAAAACTATGAATAGCAAAATGCAAAGGAAAATAATACATATTTCTGTAGATGCCCTAAAACAATACATCTACCATCATATTAATGACTGGAAATAAGGACTGATGAAGATTTATACATTGGCTCCACCACCAGGCAATCTCCTCTACGCCCATGGTTTCAACTGCAACTACTAAATCTCTTAGTCGCATAGTTTAGACATTTCTGTAAACTCTAGGATTACACATCTAATTACTTTTTAGTGTCACTCCCTGGATGTTTCCAGACACTCAACTTCCGAATGTGCCAAACTGAAGCTAGTTCTTTCAGTTACAGTCCTTATCATCTCCACTGGCAAAACCTTCTCCCCAGTTACTCAAACCAAAAACACGGTAGCCATCTAGATCCCTTTCTCCTGACTCCTGTATAAAATCAATCATTCACCAAGCCCTTCAATTCAATTTCAGGTCTTGCTCCAGAAGTTAACCGGAGAATGGAAAGGATTAGAAGGAAGATTACAAGATAGCAGTGTTTTAGTATATATTTCCTTTGATCTAAAAAAATGTTACTTATTAAAATAGGAGTGAATGAGGCAAAGGCCACAGTTAAGGACCTAGAAGGCCACATGTGGCCTTAAGGCTGCGGGTTCCCAGCCCCTGCAATGGACCTTCAGTTTTAGAAAATAAGTAAGAGTCCCTATGTTTTAAAGTGTCTGAAAAATATACCTTTGGATAGCTCTTATATTCTGGGATCAATGGCGTATTTATTAATTATTTCTCTAAGCTTTGGAGGTCCTGGGCCTGTAAGATCACCTAGTAGAAATGAGAACCATGGCATATTTTAAAGTTTGAAAAAATCCTAATTGTTCATTGAGCTATTTGGAAGCTCTGTCTGGAGAAACTAAATTATCATCACACAATTACAAAGAGCAGATTGTTCTATGAATACTATTTACTTAAAAAGGTATAAAGGTATAAAGTCTAATTAGTGCTATCTAGCTTATTTATGTAAATAATGTTTATACACGAGTGTGGTCCCTTTGTAAATATTTAATGTGTGAACAGCAATCACAGCTAATCATGATAGAGAGTAATAAGAGGATTGGTGGGAAAACTGAAAAATATCAAGGAGTCTAGAAAACAGACACTAAGCCAATTTGAAGGTGGGGGCGGGTGATGGGGATTTGTACTGAAAAGTCCTAAGGGAAGAAATCATATGTGAATAGAGAAATGAAGAGAGGGTAAGAAGTTGGCCAGGCTTTCAGTGTGAGGAAAGGAAGGTGGCAGAGTTCAGGGGTGGTCTTCCCATTACAGGAAAGAGTATGTGCAAAGAAATGTCTGGAGATGACAAAGAACAAGTACAAAGGTTTGAAGAGTGATAAGAGACTGTGGCTTGAGAAATAAGCAGAGGACTTATTAAATAAGACCTTTAGGCCAATTAAGAAGTTTGGACTTGATGCAAAGAGCAGGAAACCCATTCCTACTGGTTTGCCCAGAACACTTTACATGCATCTCCTCAGTGTAATTGTCAACAGTGTTCCTTTTTCAGAAGAGTGGCTGTCTGGGGTGGGACGAGGGTGCCATGGGGAGTCACAGTGGGCATTAAACAGATTAACCATGAAGGCACAAGAAGGAATTGTCTGGAATGATAGAGATCCTCTATACCTTGCAAGAAATGTGAGTTACGCAGGTGTATACATCTGTCAAAACTAATTTTATTGTACACTTAAGGTCTGCATTTCATCATAAATTATATGTCAAAAATAAATAAATATGTCAGCTTGGACGATAAATCACATGGTCACTATACCTAAGAGAAACAGAAAAGTTCTGAATGGTTTAAAGCAAGGGAGGGACATGATTGGACTTCAATTTTGGCCAGATCACTCTGGGTATAGCGTGCAGAATGGATTAAAAAGAGGCAAGACTGAAAGGTGGGAGATCATGTAGAAGGTCTTTATTAACACAAACGAGTAAGGTGAATGGTGTCACCCTGAAGTAACACAGCTGCAGCAGGAATGCAGAGATAAGAACAAAATTAAGATATATAATATATATATATATATGACTATCCCAGTACAATTCACAATTGCAAAGATATGGAATCAACCTAAGTGTCCATCAACTGATGAGTGGATAAAGAAAATGTGGTCTGTCTATATACCATGGAGTACTACTCAGCCACAAAAAGGAATGAAATGATGTCATTTGCAGCAACTTGGATGGAACTGGAGACCATTATCCTACATAAAGTATCTCAAGAGTGGAAAACCACACACTAAATGTCCTTGCTAATACAGCGGCAGCTAAATGATGGGTGCAAACAGGCACAAAGCGTTGTAGATGAAAAGACACCGGAACTCGAGCAGGGGAGAAGGTGGAAGGGTGAGGGATAAAACTTACCTGCTGGGTATAATGAACACTATTCTGGTGACAGGCACACTAAGAGCCCTGATGTCAGTATTATACAACTTACCCATGTAATAAAAACACGTATGTAACAAAAAACCCCTTAGTATTTTGGGAAAAAATAAAGTCCTATATAGGAATAAAATCAATAAATATCAGAACACTTAATAAGCTTCACAATTTATTTACCTAATTTTCTAAGCTAGAAATTCTGGTCATCCTTTACTTTGCACTTTCTT